GACGACAACGATGACAACGAAGATAGCGCGACGCATCCGAACGTGCCCGAAAAGCTTTGTTGCCGCGGTAAATGGTGTGAACATCCAGGTAGCGCGCCAAGCATCGACGTGCGTTGATCTACGAAGCCACGGACGAGTAAGTACGAGTCGATCCACCTTTCTCGTCGCTGACCTGCTCAACCGGCGACCTCGATGAATCACGTCGTCGTCGGAAGTTAATATGTTGCTCCCGAGCCGACAATCGACGAAAGTTCTCTCTCTCTCCTCCCCTCCTCCGCTTCACTTCACGATGATCTTCAATGAAACGATTAGGATACAATGTCGATGCACGATAATGCGCAGTGTAGTCCGAATTCTAAGATAAAATCCGAAAACACATCGAAATAGTCATGCGCGTCGACTTATTTTATTTCACATCTGATCTCGTTGAACAGGATACAAAATTGATATCTATGTGTTAGTCTATGTATCGCTTCGTACATACCACTTTGCTCAGACGATTTGTTCGCGGAAAAAAGCAAAGAGAGATGAGATCTAGGCGATTCTCTATTTGCGACAAGATACTTCGGAAAGCTTTCCGAGTGTGAGATGTAATCGCGACGAGCTTACCTAATTTGCTTGTAGTAATTCTTCGTGAAACATACTACACGAAGACACATCTAATCCAAGTTCTGATTGAGCATTTGTACACAAACGAAGGAAGTTCGCGCAAGGAATTGATAATGATCTCTTCCACTTCGTTTCGACAATCTTTGAGAAACGTGAATTAAAAGATTTTCGTTCAAAACGATTGAATATAGAAGGCAATAGGTAATTACGGCAAATTTTAAATCTTTATAGAGACACTCTCTCTCTCTCTCTCTCTCTCTCTCTCTCTCTCTCTCTCTCTCTCTCTCTAAAAAAGAAAAAAAGAAATGAAAAATGCATTCGTCCGAGAACAAGAGATTTCTTCTTGTCGAATCATACGTGGAGATCAAGATGAGATTTAGTATATATTGTACGTAACATTTGCGCCGTTCGTTCTCAAAAATCTTTTCTAAATTATTCGCTCCGCAGCCTCTTCAATAACAACGAAGATAATCTTCGATAACCAGAGGAAAATGATCTTTTTAGATGAAGACAAAGAATCTCAATGACGGAAGATTATGTTGCAATAACCAACCAGATACCGGACTGGTCGAATAAGAGCTACTTTGTCCTGTCGAATCACTCAAGTAGATTAAGTCGAGATTACGTTCGCAGTAGTAAGTATCGAAGATACCGACAAAATGAGATTCGATTATGGCACACTCGCGTCACTCAGCAACATTCAATAATTTGTATAAAGCGTGCGTCGTCTATACGTGAAGAAAAGAATAAGTGCAATGTAATGAACATGCATATACGCGCCTTTCATCGTGATATCTCACTAATCTGCAACGGAATCGCATGCACGTCGCAGAACGTCAACTGAACGTTCGTTAGCACTTGGGTGCAAATTTCGAATGGCCAAACTGCGCAAAACTGAACGTGCAAATATTTTAAATCGACAGTCGAACTTTGCGCAATTTCCTTCGATACGCACTACTGCGCTATTTATGTGGTGCATCTAAATTAATAAATTATATAGCACTGTTTTTCGACTGGTAGCACGTTCACACATTTTATTTTATATATAGATATAATATATGTATTTTGCCTGGAGCAAAATCAGATCGCGCTCGTAAACCAGCCACGACAGCATGTAACGAATATAACAATCTATCCGATTGATCGATCACCGATCTATTTCGCGCACATGTCTGCGAAAATTACGAAAACACGCTCTTTCCCTTTCGAACGCGACCGGTGCGACGTGTGACGTTGGATTCCGGATCTCAGAGCCACTCACCACAGTGGCGCGCACACGCGCGCGGGGAATACGATAAACCGAGCGCACTCACAGCGCAGGTAAGAGCGCTTTTCGAACAACTACGTGCCGGTCGGAAGGCAGCGCGGCGTTTCTTTCTCCCCTGCATCGGCTCGCCGCAGAGAGAGGGAAATGGCAAAACAATGGTAGGAGGTGAAGGTGCTATTGCGAAATACGCGGGGGAAGGAATAAGAGGACCTATAACATACCCCCGATATCGCACCGAACGAGATCGGTGGTGACTGAAAGGTCACGGGACGAGAGTACCCTCCGATGTTTTTATCAGTTTTCTACATCAACGTTGCCATATCAGCTTCTTACGTGGAATTTTGCGCTATTTCGCTTTCATGGAAATTTAAGTAAAACTCGGTCACCTCTCTCTCTCTCTCTCTCTCTCTCTCTCTCTCTCTCTCTCTCTC